ATTTTGTATTAAATAGTCAACATTTAATATTATGAATTCTAATTCATTAAAAAATAAATTACTTAATATGACAATCTTAATAAGTATACTTTAAACACTCTATTCAATATGAGGAAAAATAGTGCATTCTCAAATGGACCAATTAACCCACCCAATGTCAAGCTAAAAGCAGCAAAGATAACAACTCTTTGAACTAAAAAAACCAGATGGGGACTACATGTTACAATCAAACCTTGCATAAATATATGCTTGTACTTTTGTTTCAATTGAAACTTAAAAAAGAAACAATTGTATAAAAAAAATGCCTCATAATGAAATTGGGGTCTTTGCATTGGTTGAGTAGGTGGGGGCATATAATTTGAAAGAGAATGGGAGGGAAAGAAAGAAATTGAAGCAAAGAATAAGTTTGTTTCCATGATGGGGAAGAAAGTGAAAGACTACGAAAAATTGTGTTCTTCAATATAATTAAGGGCACCTAACCTTACAGCATTGAGTGAGCCTTAAGCCTCTTCTTCATTATAATCCTCAATAATTTTGGCATGCTCCCACATGTCATGGCAGATAGCCAACTTAACTTAAGTTAGGCTTAGATTCCACTGCATTTTCAATGCTGAATAATTAAATTTATTATATTTTAGTTGAATTCAAATATTAATTAGAGTGATGTTTATTTAATATAAATTTTTTATTAAAATATTTTTAATCATAATTATAATAAATTTTATTATTAAATTTAATCTCATTAAAATTAATCTTACTGTTCATCAAAATGAAGCCTTAAGGGAGGAGAATAGCAAGAGAAGAAATAGTTGTTTTTTTGTGTCCTAGGTTTTCTTTTGGTTAAAAAAATCAGAACCCTTTGATTTTAATTTTAGTAGTTTTATAAATATTATATATTATAAATTACATAATACAAAAGTTTTAATCCAATATATTTAATGACTATTTTTATTTCGCCATAATCGACCATATTTTTACCAAATAAATATTGTCTTATTATTAATTTAAATTTAACTATTATTATTATTTTTAATCTCATTGAAATTAATTTTATTATAATATAAAACGAATATTTTATTTACTAAATAAAGTATATCAAAGTAATGATAAGATATATATATATATATTGTGCGTGTAATGTCTCTAATTTTATATTGAAAAAATATATAGACATAATAATATATATAAATATAAACTTGAAATTTAAAAAATATTTTTAATAAGATAAAATCATAAATATTTTTAATTAAAATAAATAATATTTCGTACATAAAATACAAATATCCTTAAGATATTCCTAAGACATGATTTTGCCTTTGAAAATTTTCGTACTCATGATTTTAATTTGTTTTTAAAAGAAGACACCAGTGGACCCTCATTGTCACATGCATAGGATACCATTGGATTAGATTTGTAAAAATGCATAACACTAGCTTACTGTATAGGGGGTCACATGCTGAAACTTCAAGAAAATTGCTGTGGTCAATGGTCAAATCCTTGGGAGTTGGGTTTGTGTTTTCAAGGAAATAACTTTTTCCATGCAAGGAAATTGATAGAAAAAAAGGAAAAAAAGAAACCCCTCAATTATAGGTTTTTAATATGAAAGAAACCCACCACTTTTACACATGTCTTGCACAAACATGTAGATCAAAAGTGTTTAAACTCTAAATGCATAAATATTTGTGAAAGTAAATATATTCAAATTACATGCTTTATTGGAGAAAACCCATTTTATCCCAAAAAAAAAAGAAAAAGAAAAAAGAATGAGATAATCTATATATATATATATATTAACAAAAGTTGACAATAATTTAACTAGTATTGAATTCATACCAGTAATAATTTGGCTTAGAATTGAGGCAAAGTTTCACTATTACTAAAGTTTAAAAATTAAATTGATGAATGGTTGATTTAGTTGATTAGTTCATTTGTCTTGATAATAAATGAATTTCATATTCAAGTATTGGTAACCTTTCATTCATTAATTTGTCTAGAATTTAAGTTTATATGAAAGGTAAGCAAGAAAATTGAACATCTATGGGATTTATTTACTTTTGTATTTATTTAATTTTTATTAAAAAAAGAATTACCATTATATTATTATTATTATTATTATTATTATTATTATAAGTTAAAAAATGGGATAAATGGATTGTGCAAATTTTTAGAATTTCTTATAATTATTGCTTTGTGCATTGGATCAATGTAACTTTTTTTACCTTTTGACTAAGAGATGAGATGTTATGGAGCTTTATAGATTTCCCAACCTTTTAAAGTTCTACTTAGCTTTGTTTTTGAAGTGTAAGACTATACTATTGTTGATGTTCTAGCTACTTGCCCTATAGTAATGTTGCCTCATGCATATTTTCAGCTTTGGGATTGTTCTAAAACAAATTTTTAACCATCAACCAATGTGAATATGTATGTTGCTAGTAACTTGATCCTTAATTTCTAGTATTTTAAGGATTATTTTTCAGTTTGAAATTAAAACAATACAAAATAAATTAGCATTATATCTATACAAAATGATACGAATAAATTGAGAAATGAATCAAATTTTTTGTATAATTTATTTTAATAGAGGCCAATTAACTAATTATATTATGCTATGATTTCATGCAAATTGCAATATATGATAAAATAAAAGAAAAATTCTTAATCACAAGAGATGTACCACTTCAAAAGCTATAGATGTGATGTGAAATGGCATAAATAAAATTGGGAATATTGGTTCATGTAAACACATACACATGCCAAATTGGGTACACATCACTTATACATTACAAAATCCCACCAAAAAAAAACATAAAATCCAATGAAAACAACTGATCCATACCTTACTCATCTTGATAGGCATATAGATCCAATTTTTCATCACATCAGCTTACCAATTGAAATTTTGGATCACAAAAAAAAAAAAAAACATTTACTAAATTTATTTATTTATTTTGTAGATATATCTCAAGGAAATGCCTATTTTATACACTTTACTTTTAAAATTGGCCAAATAAAAATATGCACTTTACTTGAAAGACAAAGAAAGAAAAATAATAAAATTGGGATCTGATTTGGATTTCTTTTTGGAGTGTTTACACTGAATTTGGACCTCAATCACGAGCAAAAAATTTGAAAAATATAGAATGAATTTTCAAATGTCTGAAACTTTTGTAGCAGAGCTGATGTGATTCCAAGCAATCAAGTGTATTATTTAGTGTTTGTGAAATGTCATGTAGTTATGGGCAACTAAGCCTTGGAGTGGAAGCACATGCTTTTTTTTTTTCTTATTTTTTTGTGGCCTTCTTTTTTGGAGGCTGATTGAGATTGGCTTTTGTTAAAGATATGTTAAGACAATGGCATGGAAAATAAAAGAACAGGAAGAAGTGATCTGATCCATTTGTCAGTTTGGAGCAATCTGAGACCATTTTTCTGTCATGTTTCTTTGCATGTTCCTTAGGTGAAATCTCTAACATTCTTGATTATATCTTTCATTACCTCGTGTCAAAACTTCTGATTAGTAACAGATTCCAACAGTTTTATGAGGTTGATCAGGTTTGATCTCACCAGTTCCGACAAAAAATTTTGAACTTTAAATCTGTTAGATAACATCTCTTAAAGATAATTAAATGAACAAATTGAATTAATCTCTGAATTCTTAAAATCATTTATAATGCAAAGAACATAATCTAACCCTCATGATTTTAACTTGGGTTCTTACATGATTTTGAGATTATTGTTACTTGGAACAACAATTAACCTTAATAGATCTACTCCTTGAGGATAGAGACAAGATGATTTTTTTTTTTTTTTTGCATGCTTGGTTAAATTTGTTGAAACTCTCTAAGAAGACAGTCGTTTTCTTGAAATTAAATAATGAACATGTGCCACCATGTGTTTGCTAGCAAGTCGATATCCACATTGGGAAAACGAACTTCAATGCTTTTCAGTTTCCATCAACGTTTTACTTACAATTGAGTTCTTGAAAGTGCAAATTGGATGATATTAACCTTTAAAATGGATTTTTTTTTTCGAATTTTCTAGATGATGAATTCATATTCATTTGTTCTAAACTCAAATTTAACTCAAAAATTTAGATATTTGAATTGTTAAAACTTAAATATAATTTTTTTTAATCAATTCATCATCCAACTTAATATGATATCAAAATTTTCATGTTTGAATCTTAAAAACATTTCTCTTTTTTAATATTTCTCTCGAATTTAATTAAACCATTTCATCATCTTAAATTTTTAAGATAATCAACCATCCAATTTAATATAAATTAACACTTTTTTCATATAAAAATTATTTTTTAAAATTCATCTATGATTCAATTCTCAATATTTATAATTTTTTTTATCTCCTATTGTAGTTTTTTTATAAAAAATAATTATTTTTTATATTTTTTTATAATTTAAAATACGACATAATAACACAATACGAAAATAAAACATGAAGGTAATACGCCTTTAAATTATAGTACTAACTATATAAGTTTAACAAAACAAAAAAATTATATTTTATATTTTCATATCGATACAGATTGTAACATATAATTTTTATATAAAATATAATATAAATACATAAATTTTAATATTTTATATGATACAAATACACGAATCTAAAAATGTATATTTTCGCTTCTATGAGAAAAAAAAAAGACGAAACGGGTGTAAAAATAGGCACCAATGGGATGTGTGTAAGCAAGAACATGTCTCATTGTTGTGCGGAAAAATAGCGAAGGAGTGTCGGAAGAATTGGCACTTTGTATTGGGAGATTTCTTGGAAATGTTTTCCACTGTAAACTCAAAACCTTTGCATCCCAACTTTTGACCCAAATGCCCATAAAAGAAACATGAAATTTATCTCTCAATTTCCATGTCAATGCCCACAACACCACCGCCACCACCACCACCAACATCACCTCCCACTTTTATAATAAGAATATCATTAACATTTCCTCATTGTCCTTCAATGCTTTCATGCCCACATTTGGCATTTAGAATCCAATTATACCAACAGAAGCTCCAAATTCTTTAATTTAATAGAATAAATAGATCAGCTGTGGTCTCAAAAGTGTGGGGAGGAAACCCCTGGAACCAGGGTTTTACGCCAAATTTGGTGCTTTAAGCCTTTTAACTTATTACATTTGCTTGCCACGTGATTTGCATTTTTTAGGTCTACAAGCACCATGGTTTAAATCCACATTGATATGCTTCCTTGCTTGGATTATTTTTCAATTATGGGTCTTGCTTTGATTTATCGACATGATTTTTTAATATGTGATATTGAATTACATAATAAAAGATAATTTCTTTTCTATTCCGTAAATCTTACTCTTTTCTCGAGATTCTAACTCGAAACCTCCGAATTTAACCTTTAAACTACAGTCATTTGGATGAATACATACCGGCTTATTTCTTCTCTCTTTGTTTGGGGCTTACAGTTGCATAATTCAACTATTTAATGGAACAACTTCCACATGTTGGATGATTGAATCATCACGACTGTCCAAAAACATGAAATAATGAAGTGATAGGATGAAACATGCAGAAAAGGAACATGATGGAGAGTAAAATTATGGACCAAAAGAAAAACATTAAATCTTCATTCATTTGAGATTATATAGATTTGAGTTTTAACAATCTTGGTACAAGTTCTCAACAACGTCAAAGAAATGTTAAGAAAATACAGAACTTATTATACAACAATTACATTGCAATATACAATTCATATACAAATGAATGCACTTTTGTACAGATGAGTTTTTGTTAACAAATGCAACTACAACATAACTCCTTCTGAAAGCTTACTGTACACAAGCTTCGAATACGTGCACTGCAGAAAATGATCGGAGCAGATTGATGAATGGTTTGCAAGAAAACAGACAAGTAGAGAAAATCATGATATACAGAATTTCTGCTTCCGGGTCTCCTCAAGTGATATCTGCATAGGAACATAGCAAGACCAAACAAGTGATGAATAATGCTAGGCCAATGCATTTCTTTTAATCTCATGCAAAGTTTGATGTAATCTGGACGAAATTTGTTTTTCAAGTAAAGTAGTCCTCATCGAATGTAGTTTTGCTTCTGGCTTTTGTTTACAGGGCAATGTGAAACAAAAGATGCGGGGAAAACATTTCAACCAAAAATAATAAGGTATCATGATGCAACATAGTAAAGGCAGAAGTTTTACTGTTTTATTGATAAATTACCAGAAGAAGATCTTCATCAGTACCAAAGCATTTGTGTGCTTCTTCCAGGCATTTTGATGAGACCTTGTCGTGTTTCCTGCACATTTTCTTTCCCGAGTTAATGCTTCTAGCAGAAGATTGAATAAATTTCTCAAGGCCATGTTGGTGGAGTTGATGAATTAACATCAACGAAAATATCACTAATAAGACAGATACAAACTCCATTAAACCAATTTTAATGAACACTCTGTAGCTTAACTCATTAATCTTGCTAAGTGTGCTTTTCCCTCATCCATAGCTGTCAGATCAACCATCTATTAGTAGGCAATTACTTTGTGAAACCGCATGGTTCAAATCTATAAATACATGTAGCCAAGGATGACATCAAGAAGACAGAAGTTAACCAAACTCCATTGAAAGATTTAACCAAGGAGAACAACAAGAAGAATAGAACACAAGAAAATCAGAAAGTTTTTCACATGATAATATCTAATCATCATGCATTTGGCCACAAGCATAACAATAACTTTGTAGAACATCGACTAAAATTGACAAGATAAAGGCTCATAGAAGTAACAGAGGAAACTATGACTTTGAGGAATGATAAGAATAAGAAGACAGGAGTTGTTAGAAAAGTGGAGAAAACAGGATACTACGAATTGCATTGTTACTGAAGTCTCCAGTCATACACGAGCACATGATCCAAAGTCTTTCATATATTTTATGAACACCACATATACTGCTCTAATTATAAAATTATGCCAAGAAAATTCTTAAAAATTCATTTGCAACTTCTTATGCTAATTGAAATATGATATACTAAGGTTTTTCATTTTTGTAGATTTATTGTAACATCATTAGATAACAGTTCACTGAATCTTAACTTGCTAGATAATCCACCAGTTTATAACGAATTTTTGCATTCAAAATATTGCTCATCGCGATAATATGCTTGGAAAGTGCATATTGGTATTCCAAGCGTCAAGTAACTGCTGCCTTAAGTCAAATTCCATAACATACTTATTTATGAACATTAGTGTTAAAAATTACCCATAATGATGACCTTAAGACAGTGATTAAAATTATTATATGGCTTCAAACAAAAAAAGAAAAAAAGAAAAAAGAAGAGATTATATGATGAACATGGTAGGAAGCTGCCACGCAGTGTAAAGAAAGCTTTGATAGTACCTTGAACTTGCAGGATCTCTAATCTCAAACTCATCTGCTTCAGCATCATAGCCACATATCACAACATAGTGACCTACAAAGAGAGCAAATTTCTCAAGAATGAGATCAGATGTGTAATGCTGGTGTTATAATGCTTTTGACCAGAAAAAGATTGAACAGGACATGAAGCAATGAGTACTCAAAGGAAAAGAATCCTTTGTCATAACTATGACTGATCTATTATTAACTAAATCACATTTGTATAAAGGCCAAAAAAGATCACAATTGTATAAAGGCCAAAAATATTCACATTTGCATAATTCATAGATGGTACAAGTCATCCTGAAGGACTTCTTAATCATCGATTTTGTGTTATTCAAACACAAAGTACCAAGGATATGTATTCTCAATATTAGCATTCTGATTTGTATTTTAAAATTGTATATGAAAATAACATTCTAAAAGCGTGAAACACTCACCAGTGTATCCTACATCATTGCCATGAAATTCAGGGATGATGACATCCCCCACCCAAGACTGACTGCAATGCAAGATTTTGGCAGAAGAGTTCAGCACTAGGATATCATCACTAGATAAGAAGTCATTATCATGCAAGAACTTAACCCTTTGTATCATACCTGCTCAAATACAGAGGCATAGAGAGAGGGATATAAAAAACACAGGAAACTAGATGTATTAATATGAGGAGTTTCATTTCAGAGTCTGAAAGAAACAGCAGACATTGTACGATAACAAGCAACTAGGAAAAAAAAAAATCTAAAAAGAGAATAGAATATATACCTCAATTTGTACTGGTCAACCAAAGCAATTGCAATGTACTTCCCTGACAAGATCCAGCGAGAGATTTCCTCTCTACTGATTGACCTGCACTGTAAAATGGGGGATAGTTCATAACCCCAAGAAAAAAGTTAATTGTGACAAAGACCATCCAAACTATGCCACACAGAGATAGAATAAGAGAAGCAGAAATTTTCATCAGTAACAACGGCCATAGTTCAATATTAAGCATTAAACTAAGAAGAAACCAAATATATATATATATATATATATATATATATGAAATGAAGGAACCCAATCTATTTAATTGCAGCCATTTGCCTTCTTTAATATGAAAACAAACTACTGGCTATAAAGTTTAAAAGGAAAAATTTTATCACTAAGGCAATCAAAATGCAGTCAGCATATAAGTGTTCCATCCTAGAACAATTTAATGTATAGACATAAAAGAAAATATGCTCTCAGATGAATACCAGTATATTGATTCCTGCTTCCATTGCTTTTTGGAATAGCGAATCTACTCGAACCAGATCATTAGGAAGTTGTTCCTGTAGAATACTCAAAGTAATATGCTGATTATTACGTTTGCAACAATATTCTATTAAGCTAATCAACTGAAAAAGATAAATCATGGTCACTTTAATGAGATTACAATCTCCTAACACTATATTGGAAAGAGGAGTAGGGTGGAAAGGAGATAATCCCACAGAAAAGATTTCAGCTCTAATTTCCTTCCAACGATGCAAAATGAAAATATAAGCAGCATGCCACATATTCATTTTGCTGGAAAGAGGTAGTCATGCAGAAACATAACACAGCTAATTACATCTACCATAATACAAGCTAATGGAAAATCACACACTGGCTACTTAAGCAGCTATTAAAGCATAAACATCATTTAACCCATAATTTAAATCAAGCAAGTCATGGTGCAGTGCTTGAAGCAATAAACAAGCATGCTAACATCACATTCTCTCATCAATTTGCAACAAAGAAAAAAACCGAATGACACAAAATAATTACAAAAATACATCTGGTGGCAGGTGCAAAGGCAAATTACCTTGTAATACCTCTCACCAGAGTAGTTTGGGTTAGCTCCAAATGTTACAGTGTAATAGGAAAACCTAACTGAAAACTTTTGCAATAAGTAAGCCAGATCAACAGTCCAAATGCTGTATGCAAGATACAAAAAGTAATACTCATCAGAAATGGCTCAAATCAGCTAATATAAATGCTGCCTATCATAAAGATGAAATCAAATGGTTGGAATGCACATCATGTTGATATTTTCCTAGTTTTATATAATTCTTCTCATAAAATAAACAAATAAAAGCTCTAACTTCAGACTTTGTAACGAAAACATACCTAGTTGTGCAACAAAGCTCAGCCAAGTTCTGAAGACTACAGTTATCAATTCCAACAGTAGTCAAAGCCATCAAAACACAAGCAAGACCACAGTCCCAAGAGAACAGTTGGTTTATGTGTGGAACCTATAAACACCAAACTTCAGTTTAGTCAAACAAATTCCAATCAAAGCTTTTTGGAGATACAATCCCTATCAATCGAAACATAAACAACACAAACTTGCAACACAAGGTAATCTAAACCCTAATGTACTCACTTCAACAAAATGTGACCGAGGCAACAATGCCTCGTGGCCAATTCGATTATCAGATGATAGCTCAAAATGGCAGCATCCAGCTGCCACATTCATGTGATCCCCGTCTTCTCCTTCTTCATCTGTTTTAAGAATCTTGTTTAACAGAAAATACAAAGGCCACATCAGGAGACGCCCCCCCTCGATTAAATCACAATAATGCCACTAGCAGTTATTTAATCAGTTACAACAACCTTCTCCAACAGCAACACCATCAATTCTTCTTCCTCTTGCAGCTTTTCCTTCACAAAAAAAAATAAATAAATAAAATCAAAATAATGAATTTTACACACTTTTAACAATTAAAACTTATTTATAACAGCTAATACTAGCTCCATCATATCATAAATTCGGTTAATCAAGAATCTTGATTAGGTTAACGTTAAAATTAGGCCTTTTTATCAAAATTCAACGTTTTTGAAGCTATTTACAATCGGATTACACAGAATAGTGAAGATTTTTAGATACTAAATTGATTAAGCCTAACGAAATCAGGGAAAAAATTCAAACAAAATGTTAACAAATAATAATAACAACTTACGAAATATCAACGAAGAATTATTGATCGAAAATGAAATAAGCTAAATCAATTAACAAAAGAGAAACAAAATTAAATACCTTTGAGAGGGAAAACGATCGATTTTTGGTTTTTGTCTCAGAAGATTTCCGAACAGGTAGAGACTTTCAACTGTTTGAGTCTAGTTGGTGACTTTTTTTTTTTTTTTTTTCGACTTCTTCGGTCAGTTCCAATAATTAAAAGTGAAAATGACTTTAATGAAGGTTGAAACGTGGCGAAATATTAATGGACATTTGAGACAACATGGAAACGGAAATATTGAAATATTTTTTTGTGTCAATTTGCTTTATTGACTACTTATAAGTCGGCAAGCCAGTTAGTTTTTGCGCGGATTATTCTAAGGCGTGTGTTGGTTCCTGAAACTTTGAATTTTGAAAAAAAAAAGAAATTTTTTAAAAAATATGATATTCGTATTTTTTTTAATTTTAAGATATTTTATATTTTGATTCATTTATTTGATTTAAAAGAATTTATATATATTAATTTTTTATATAATTATTACAATCACGTTGATATATATAATAGTAATTTTTTATTTTATTTTATTAATAATAAATATTTAAATAATAAATGATATCTTTAATAATAAAAAAATAAATATTTTATTTTATTTTATTTTTATTTATAAAATATCATTAATTGAAAATTTGATACTTTTTTAAGTAATAAAATTTTATAAGAAAAATTATTAGAAAAAAATTAATTAATGCGTTTGTTACTTTTTTTTTATCATAGAAAATTTTAAAAATATTCCTTTAATTTATTTATAAAATAATCATTTAAAATATTTTTGTTTATAAAACGTCTTAAATAATTTTTTAATTTATTTATAAAATAATTGTTTAAGGTATTTTCTATATAAAAATACCTTAAATAATTTTTTTATTTTTTATATTATGAATCATTTAATAATTATCTTTTAATTTATAAAATAATTATTTAAGGCGTTTTATATGAAAAACGTCTAAATTAATCATTTTATAAAAATATTAACCCTAAATCATAAAATATAAAAAGATTATTTGTGGTATTTTTGTAAAAAAAAATGTCTTAAATAATTTATTTATAAAAATATAAAAAGACTATTTAAGATATTTTCTGTATAGAAATACTTTAAATAATTAATTTATATTTTTATAAAAAAATTATTGAAAGTGTTTTTTGTACAAAAATACTTAAATAATCCATTTATATTTTTATAAAAGATTATTGAATGTATTTTCTATACAAAAATGCTTTAAATAATCATTTTATAAAAATAAAAACGCCTTAAATAATCTATTTATATTTTTATAGAAATATTATTAAATGCTTTTTTGTATAAAAATATCTTAAATAATCAATTTATATTTTTATAAAAGTTAAAATCGTTTTCTGTACAAAAACTTCTTAAATAATCTTTTTATTTTATAAAATGATTACTTAATATAAAAATATCTTAAATAATTCTTTTATATTTTTATAAAATAATTATTAAAAGTTTTTTCTATTTATAAGAAAATTATTTAAGGCGTTTTTGTACAAAAAACATATTCAATAATATTTTTATAAAAATATTAATCTAAAACCCAAAACCCTAAATATAAAAAGTTTTAAATAATTTATTTATATTTGTATAAAAATATTTTCTATATAAAAAATGCTTTAAATAATACTTTTATTAAGCGTTTTCTTTATAGAAATACCTTAAATAATCTTTTTATATAAAAATATAAATGGATTATTTAACACCTTAAATAATTTATTTATAAAAGTATAAAAATTATTTAAAGGGTTTCTTCATGCCAAACCGCTTTAATTATAATATAAAAAAATATTTTATTTTGTACAAAAGCTTATAATTGAGTTTCAATCATCTACAGACATAATTTTTAAAAGTATAACGACTATTTTGTCATTTTTTTATTCAAGTTAAATTTAAAAATAAAGTAATTTTCTCTCTAAAATCATAGAATATCATAAGAAAATATAGGTTTATGGTTCAGAAATTTTGGATACTATTAAAAATCTAATATTTTTTTGTAATCAAATTATCCTAAATCAAACGTGAGAATCAAATTCTCACCATCAAAATTTCGAAAGAAAATTTATGAATTACCCCTAATCAAATGCCGTTTAAAAATTAATTTTTAATTAATTTTTTATTATTTAATTAAAATTTACCAATAACTTGAGCATACACTATGTTAATTTGGGCCTTTAAGGTCAACCCAAATCCAAACTTGGCAAGCTGAAGGCCAGCCATAATTTTTTATGGAATATTTTTTAATGTTAACTTTCTATATTTTTAATTAAATTAAAAATATAATTAGTTCATATAATCATATGATCGATTGATAAATTACTAAATTCTTAGACTTTACTTGATAGAAAGGTTGAAATGGAATACAGATGAAAAACTCATCAATCCAATGGCTAAAATTCATAACTTTTTTTTAACTTTATAGCTTAATTGTTAGATTAATAAGTTCTACATATTTAATTCTCAAGTACAAAAAAAAAAAATGATAAAATTGTATGCTGTTAAAAAAAATTAAATTCTTGATCTATCAATGTGTAAAATGATAATTTTAAATTAAAACTTAATTTAATTAATTAATACAATCGCTCTTAATAGATGATATTTAATATTAATAAATTAAAAATTCAAATTTCAATAACTCTTTACCACATCCTTAAACTGTAATTTTTTTTATAAAAAAAATGATAAAATTAAGACATTATCTCTTATTATTAATTAAAGACAGATCTTAATGTCCCTGACAGCTACTACCCTATATAACAAACAATACAGGAAACACACCTCAAATTCAAGATACAATCTTTCCATTATTTCACTTTTTCTTGTCTCAAAGTATAGGAAGGGAAATAATTGGAAAACCTGCATATGATGCCCCTTGTTTGAGGTCTCAAGTGACCTCAACCACAGCTCCTGCGGACCTCAACATATGTAATAAGGGATTGTAGTAATTTCATTTCAATTCACTACTGCTACCCAATTCATATACAGCTTGCACTCTTGTAGTAATTATACAAAAATTCATTGAGAGGTCCCATGTTTGGGTTACTCAAAACTTGTTAAGAGTCCATACATAAAAGGCTTCTATATGGCCTTTGGGGGGTGAGTGCCATCAAAGAAAGCATGATTGAGAGTGGTTAGATGTTAGGGACCTTGGCTTCTATATGGCAAATAATGAGAGTCAAGGAGCACATGAAACTTTGGAAAATATATATGATATGATATTGTACTTTTTTTTTTTCTGCCATGCATTAAAACAGACCTAAAGATTGAATACAGAAGGTGGGATATGGGAATGTAAGGAATGAACATTGGAAGACTCTCCTTTTGCTTGATTTTGAAGTCAATGATATTTTTAGTTTTAGGCAATTGCCATCTCGAAAAAAAATCATTATTTAAAAATAAAAAAAATTTATAGATATTAAAATTTGAATTTTAAATCTATTAAACGATATCATATATACTTTTTATTTCTATTTTATTTATGTGTAATTTTTGAATACTTGAATCAAATGTCAATATGAACTCAATATAAGAAAATATTGAGAAGAAATGTGCTAGAAGAATTGCATCAATTGAGTACATTTAATGTTATCGAATCAAATATTCGAATATAAACATAATGTACTTTATCATATTATGTATATTGAATCAAATGTTTGAATATAATACTATGACGTATTATAATATTTTTTCAATTATAATAAAAAATAAATGATAAGAATATATGAACAGGTAAAGTTTTCAAATTTGTTCACCCTTTTTTTTTGTCGAACACTAAAACTTTTATAGCATTTATACGTCTACTTTTACATTTCATATACAGTAAAACAGTTCTTAGGTTATAGTCCTTACTATTTACGAACAAAATTCAGACAAAAGGGGCTTTATTTTCAAACAACAAAAAGGGTCAAAATAGAAGAAAATAGAATAGTCATATAAAGTTTCATGGAACAGCTATAAGGCAAAAGTAGGTTCTGGCTTTTTTTTTTTTTTTTTTGCAATTCAGTCTTTTCGATAAATCTAAATATAATAATTTAAAATATAATTCTATACGAATATAATGTAAATAAAAAATTCAAAAATATATGATTTAAAATTTTAACAATAATTATATATAAATTTAATAAAAAAATACATTTGATACTTTTGTATCGATATAAATTATGATATATAATTTTTATATAAAATACGATATAAATACATAAAATTTAATATTTTATATGATATAAATGCATAAATTATCAAATCTAAACAAACTCATCTCTTTTATTTTTCTCAACTGTTGAATTACTTTCAATCTATTTTCATTATGGCTGCCAGATAGCCATCAAGGTTGTATATTAACAGTTATAAGTGGTAGTTACATTTGCAATTCACATTACCTATTGGTGGGCTGCTGCTATCAATCAAATTTGAGAAGTAAAATTTTGTGGAGGACCACTTTAGATTCCCTATTGCTTTTCTCTTTCTTTTTTTTTTTTTTTTTGAAAAAATTCATCCTTTTTCACTTACATTTGTGTTTTTCTTTTAATTGTATCTTTCCACTTTTACATGTACATTTTGGACTTAATCTCATCTTTGATCTCATGATTGAATTTTATTTTCAAAAATTTAAATTGAATCTTGATTAATAAAAAAAATTCTTTTTTATCAATTGAATTAACTTTTGCAATCACAAATAAGGTTAATTATGAAAGTTTTGAACATAATTTTTAAGTTTTTTAATCGATATTTTATATTGATGATTATTGCACTGAAATTTTTTTTTTTTTTTTTTCTTTTTACTCTTTTTGAATAGTTGGCCTGCAAATTGGGCCAAGTTGGCAAGTACTGTTTTGAGGACTAAATTGAACAAAAAAATATTGAATGAACAAGTGAGCCCCACTGAGTAATAACAGGGGCTGGATTGAACAAATGAGAATTAACATCTTTTAAAAGTCACAACCCAAATGCATACCTAACACAACTGTTTACATTAACTCCATCTCTCTCATTCATTTTTCCTTAAAAAGCTTTTTTTTTTTTTTTTCTCTAATTTAAGTACAACTTCCTAATTATTCACATGAAACACCAAGAACAAATGATGCCAAATGTGTTCAACTAATAAATTTCTTCCAACGGATATTATAGTTTAGTGCTTAACTTTTAGTGACAATGATCATAATTTAATTTATGATAATTTTAAATATAAAAAATTAATAATAATAGAAATGAAATTTTCAATGGATTTTTTTTTAGAAATTAAAGAAGAGTAACATCTTAAGATTCAATTTAGTTGGTTAGAGTGTATGATTATTTACTTAGAATATGATTTGAATTTTTTTTAAATAATAAAAAAAATGAAAAAAATAAAAGTGATTATTTCTGCCTACTATTAACATTTTTATAAAATTAAAAATGTCACTGTCTATTTTGTATAAATAGATGAAAATGTATTGAATTATTTTTTTATAAAAAAAATTATTAAAGTAACACATTTAGTTAATTTTATGTAACATCCACTTGTGTACTCCTTCGATAAATGATTTTAAAATTTTATATGTTCATGAAAAATTCAAATATTTTACTTTTGGCTTAAAAAAAAAAACTTTTACTGACACATTATTTTTATTACCATAGATACCCAAAATATTTACTCCCCTTACGCGGTAAAAGCGTAAGTTCACGTGAAAAGACATATGCATGGGCCCTATACTAGCTGACCCACCTCTTTTTATTTATTATTATTTTGAATATACCTTATTTTCAGTCCATAATTTATATGTATGTATTTTATAAAATATTAAAATTTATATATTTATATTTTATTTTATATAAAAATTATATATTATAATATAGGTTGGTATAAAAATATAAATATATTTTTTAATTTTAATAAATTTATATAAAATTAATAGTAAAATTTTAAATTATATTACTTTTATATTATTTTTATAACATATGTATATCAGGTCTCCAAGAGAAGGCTTAAAAATCTTGAAGAAAGAGAGACGTTACCCCATTTTTTTTCAAAGAGAGACGTTACCCCAATGGCACGTGACGAGCCATCTCTGCTTCTTCTCAAAAGTTCAAAAATCAAAACTTTTAAACTCGCCCCAGGTTCACCCTCCAAGTAAATGTCTTCTCTTTGTAACCCAAAGACTCAACCTTTTTGAGTTTTTGTGTATGTTTTTTCAGAGATAAGGAGAAAAGGGTAGTTAGTTAAGTTAGTAACCTTTTGAAAGATGGAGGCTTTGTTGAAGAAGAAAGATGATTGGACTGAGGATGTGAGTGAGTTGAATAGTTCTAATGGCGGTGAGTCTAAGGAGAGTAGTGGTAGTAATAGTAGTAGTTCAAGTGGATCAAGTTCAGGGAATTTGGTTGATAAAATTAAGGTTAATATTAAGGCTAGAGGGTCAGAGTCAGGGTCTGCTTCAGCATCAGCTTCAGCTACACCTCCTCCTCTTCTGGGTTGGCCTATAAGGAAAGCTACTATTACTACTTCTCCTCCTACAGTGTCAAAGAACTCAGATGTTTCTAACGGAAATGGAGATGAAGACAAGATTAGTAATGAAGATGACAAGTTTAAAAAACTGGGTTCAAAGATTAATGGTTAGTAATGTTGTTTTTAAGTTTAAATGTTGGATTTTGAAACTTTGGGTTTTTGGTTAGGTTGGCAGAAGCAGCTTTCTGCCAATTATGGAATCTCACATGAATTTGTTTTTTAAATGGTTTCTAGCTTTAGGTTTGGCCAATTTAGACCAAACTTTGAGTTTTTTTTTTTTTTTTTTTTTTTTTTTAAGTCTAATTCTTTTTTTCTTTTTGGAATTGTAAGTAGAGATTGAAATGATGAAGGAAAGGTTTGCAAAATTGTTACTTGGTGAAGACATGTCAGGGTCAGGAAAAGGGGTTTGCACAGCTTTGGCCATTTCGAATGCCATTACCAATCTCTGTGGTATGCTCTCTCTCTGTTTCAATTTTTGGAATTTTGAGGTTCTTGTTCCAATGTAATTAATTTTGTTCCTTTTTGGACTTATTAAATTTGTGATTACTATATGTAATATAGCTACTATATTTGGGCAATTGTGGAGATTAGAGCCTATTCCTGAGGAGAAGAAATCCATGTGGAAAAGAGAGATGGAGTGGCTTGTTTGTGTTAGTGACCACATTGTTGAGTTGATACCCTCTTGGCAAAATTTTCCAGATGGAACTAAGCTTGAGGTATTCTTAAAGTAGTCCAGAATCATTTTTTGTTACATTACAAGGAAAAAAATGAGAAAAATTTCAGATTCATATGAATATTTAAAAGTCACTTTCTCAGTCTGTACAAATCCTATTTGGTTGCTGAAAAAGCACGGGAAAAGAAAACATCTTTTGATCTTTTGGAATTTCACTGTTTGTAATTGAATGGTAAAGTTTTACTAAATTAAAGTTAAATTCAGCTGTTTTTAGCCATGAAACTCTAGAATCAGAGAGCATATTTCCAAATCAGATGGCTTCCCATTTATAGTTTCTAGTCTTTTAACTGTTTCTTCTGTGTTTTTATAGGTCATGACTTGCAGGCCTAGATCAGATATTTTCATCAATCTCCCAGCCCTGCGTAAACTAGATAACATGCTTCTTGTAAGAACTAACAATGCTTACTTTATGCTTCATGGTCGTCTTAATTTGGGGGTAGAAGTTCATGTTTAAAATTATAAGCTGGCTTTTGCTGTGGCAGGATATATTAGATAGTTTCACCAACACAGAGTTTTGGTATGTTGATCAAGGGATTATAGCCCCAGATGCTGATGGATCAGCCTCCTTTCGAAAAACGCTGCAACGCCAGGAGGAGAAGTGGTGGCTACCTGTGCCCCGTGTGCCTACAGGTGGTCTCAGTGATAATTCTAGAAAGCAATTGAATCACACCCGTGAATGCACAAATCAAATATTGAAAGCTGCTATGGCCATTAACAGCAGTTCTTTATCGGAAATGGAAGTTCCAGACTCGTACTTGGACACTCTTCCAAAGGTCAGAAAATTAGACATAAGTTGATGTCTTGTTATCTGAATCTCTTCTGTTCACTAACTGCATTTAGGTAAATGGACAATGCCAAAAGTTCCTGCTTGATCTCTTAACTCTTGCAAACTGTTTGTTAGTTATGCCAACTACCTCCATTAGGGAAAAAAATATTTTCTCAGTTCATGTTGCTGCTTTCTAGCTACTGAACCACCATGTTTAATTGTTATAGATCAAATATAGATGAGAGAAATGTTACCATGGTTAGTTATTTACCTTGTACTATTCAAAGGTGATGTGACATAGTTTTGAAATTTTGTCGCAGAATGGAAGAGCTTGTTTAGGAGACCTAATTTATAGGTATATTACATCTGATCAATTCTCAGCAGAGTGCCTGCTTGATTTCCTTGATCTATCCTCCGAACATGTCGCTCTTGAGATTGCAAACCGTGTTGAGGCCTCAATATATGTGTGGCGTCGAAGATCTCACTCCAAGCCCCTAACAAATCCAAACCGATCTACTGCAAAATCCTCATGGGAAATGGTAAAAGACCTAATGGTTGATGGAGACAAGAGAGAGTTTCTAGCAGAAAGAGCTGAAAGTCTTCTGCTTTGCTTGAAGCAACGATTCCCCAGTTTGACTCAAACAACCTTGGATACCAGCAAAATCCAGTGCAACAAGGTTTGATTCCATTTTCCCAAAATATCTGGTTGTGCCACAGGCTACTTCATTTCCCTCCAAATGTTATTCAATTATAACGTAATTTAAACTTTCAGGATGTTGCAAAGTCCATTCTTGAAAGCTATTCAAGAGTTCTGGAAAGCCTGGCATATAACATTGTGGCACGTATTGACGATTTGTTGTACGTAGATGACTTAACCAAGCATTCAGAAAAGTTTTCAGAAAAGTTGTCATCGGTTCCTACAGTTAGTGTAATTGCACACAAAAAGGTTTCAATCCCATATTCGGTGCCTGTCTCGGGCACTCCCTGCAGAACAGCAATTACCACACCAAGCTTTTCACCTGCACCACTGATCAGCCCTGCAAGGGTAGAGAGAACTCCTTTTCTTAAGAACAACAACAACAACAACAACAACAACAACAATAGCAAGCCTTACCGCCGTGGCTTTGGAGTGAAGAGGGTCTTGACTAATTATCTTGGAGTTGATTCAAAACCAAAGATATGTGGCAATCCAACAGATGGTTCATCAGTTCTGAACTCTAGCAGTACAGACAGCTCAGGGAATCAAAAGGATCAAAATACATCAAAACAATCATCAGCATACCAGAATGGGATCAGATTGCGACAAAATCCTCCGCGATATACAGTCACTTGAGATTTTTGCTGAGAAAAGCAAAACAATAAGATGTGACAAATAGAATTAATGACGGAAAACTTGTGGTTGTTGTAAAATACTTATGTGTATGAGTTATATTTTATATTTTTTTGGTTGTGTTCCTCGTTCTTGTAGTTAATTTGAAGCAGCAGTTATTTGTATCAAAACAGCCTACTTTTTTATAGGGTGCTAACCGTGTGTTAACGTGAATGCAAGTGAAATGAGACAAAATATAGTATGAGATGCTTGGTTGTGTTTTCTCTTCAGAATCATATCTCTAGACCAAATGCTCGAATCATATATCAACCTGGTCAGTAATGTAAACAATATCATATACAAGGAAAAGCAGGGTTGCAGAAGAACATCTTGGAAAAACGCAAAAGTTAAATAGGGCATGCTATGAGACAGCTTTAATAAAGGAACTTCCGTGAAGCATTTCCATGAGTTTTCAAAATGGCATTCCAATGTGGAATTACTGCATAAACTAACGCATTTGGATATTCTAACAACTAAAGGTAAAAATCCAACATAGCATGGTTGAATTTTGTAAGTGTAAAAAAAGAAAGACGAAGTATTGAGTATGATGGTCACAACTATATATATATATATATATATATATACATACACGTAATTGACGTAGAGAATCAAAATTTTAGACTTTTGAAGAAAATTACAAACTTGTAAATTTGGATGAAATCGTGACTATGATATAGTCAAATTCATACATTTATGTTCATATGAATCACTATGTTTTTGTGTAGCTTGAACACATTAAACAATACCATCTAAGTTTCAGGAAACTTCCGTCCAAATGAATTGTCATTGATGAAGAAATGAACAAGAAAAATGCAAAGCATCCGTTTCCATTTACGTCAAATAAAATACAACAAGTATATATATACTCTCACGCCTTGGCAACAAAGTCGTTGTAGTATAGTGGTGAGTATTCCCGCCTGTCACGCGGGCGACCCGGGTTCGATCCCCGGCAACGGCGTTCAATATATCATTTCTTTTTCCCTCTAAGGGAGAGATCTCCACCGTCTGGTCATGACAACAAGTCTCCATGTCACCGCCTTAGAGATTGTTGCTGTAAACGCAGGTAGCCCATGTTTCCCAAACTCAAAAATCGCCATAGACTTTGATGAAATTCCAAGTCTACTCTTTCAGTTCCTTCCTCTTCACCGGTCTCTTCGCTTTAGCTCTCAAACAAGCGATTAAGATCTCCAAATCCTATTCTTTCAATATCATATTAGTTTCCATGGGTCAGAGTTTTTCGAAAATGTTGATGTTAATAAGGCATTGCTTCGGGTCGGGATGTTGGTTTCGGTTGTTGGGTCGGTTGCGGGATGTGTGTTTTTAATGTTGGCTTTGGCTTGTGGGAGTGGACATGCTTTTGCGGTGGTTGTTCCTCTTGTTATTTTGGTCCCACTTGCTCTTTTGATCTATGTTTGTGTCGAACTTTACACTTTTAAGTTATTTGTTGTTGTTCTTGTATGATCAAAGTGGTATTGTAATGAATCAATGAGTTTTCCTACTTAGGTTTTTCTTAATTTGTAGTGTTTTTGGGGTATATTTTGTTGTATGATCTAAGGTGGAATTACAATGGAACAAGACGATAAAGGTTGGAACTTTGAGAATGTTGCTGATGCTTTCATTTGGGTTTTTGGTTTTTTACTTCTGGGTATCTTTTTCTTGTATGATAAATGTGTGAAATTATGTTGAAACGATGGGGAAAGTTGAAAAAAAAAGTGTTGTTGTTTAATATTCTTTTGATTTTGTTGTTTTTATTATTGTATAATCTAGTTGAGATTGTAATGAAATATGAGAATATAGGAAAGGATAACCATATTCTCTTCTGGATGTGATCAAATTGAAATTTTTACTCTGTAATTTCAAGGATTAACATTTGTATTTGAATCCTGGAATCCACTATTTGAGACATCTGTTTGGGTTTGACAGAATTGGTAAAGAAATTTTCTTTGTTATCTAAATTTCCAAGGGTTGGATCAGTGTAGGTATCAAGCAGGGTAGAGATTAGCTCCAGGTTTAAGAATATCTAGTGTTTGACAAATTGCTAGTGTTTGTATTTCATCGACAGATAAACAGGTAAACAAGTTGCTTATTAAAATCAGTGAGGGCATTGAAGTCTTAGATGTTTTGTCTTGATACTTCCATACAAGAAAGCAGTAGGAAGAAAGACCCAAATTTCTAGCTGAATGCCCACAGAAATGAAAAAAAAAACAAAAACCACAAGCTCATCAGCCCACAAAGATGCTGTGAGATAGAGTAGAAGTAGGTAATGGTAGGCAATTGAAGGGCTAGGTTTTTTTTAAGCTAACTCTAGGTGGTAGGTTTGAAATTATACCTTCTTTCAGTTGTTTCTAGTGCTATTCTTTTGCAGTATTGACTTTGGCTTGCGCTGCATGATTCTGGTTTGCATGAATGCTTAAACTGTGGATGTGTTTCATAAAGAAAGAAGATGTAATTGTTGACTCGATAGTCAGGTAACTCTAAATCGATGGTCTGGAATAGTAGGTGCTGCAGCTGACAAAAGACTTTTCTCTAGTTCCATGTCCGTTGTAATTGGTGGAGGTCACATGTATTTAGCTATTTTTTTAGCTATTTGTTTCAGTATAAATTGTTGAGTTGTGTCAGTGTTTCGGTACAAGTTGTCTGAGAAGTGTCCTTGAATTGCATTAAGGAAATGGAAGCTTCAATGAGGTACATCTGTGTTCTAGTTTTTCTTGTGATTATGGCCATTGCTGGGTTCAATGGAGCAGATGGATCTGATAATTATTATGGTCCATGTGGGAAACATGACATTGAGAAGGAAGCTGAGAAGCTGGCTCCTTGTACAGAGGCAGCAAAATATGTGGAAGCTCCAGTTTCTGAGCGTTGCTGCACTGTAATGGAGAAAAAGCTCAAGAATCCAAGCTGCCTTTGTGCTATTATGTTTTCTAATACAGCAAGGAAAGCTGGAGTCAAGCCAGAAGTTGCCGTGACCATTCCAAAACGCTGCAACATTCCTCATCGTCCTGTCGGTCACAAGTGTGGAGGTAGAATGAGCATATTATTTACTGCATTTTTAGTTACCTTTTCTCCTTTGCTTTTATATAACGCTTCTGCTGTTAGTTTCATTCTCATGAAGCTATTGTATCTATTTCTTGCAGCTTTCCCACTGGTTTAGGTGTGAAGACTCCCATGGTTTCTCTTCCTGTACTAAAACTACTTGGTATCAGCAGTATCAATTGTGCGGATTTTGTCCTTGTTGCTTGTCAATCTTAGTTGATGACTTTCACAGTGACATCCAGCCTTTTGAGTAATAAATAAAACTGCAGTTGTATCTTTGACAAATAATAATGAAAGTATAGTTGTTTCTCTGAATACTACTAAATAAAATGTTAGTTTTCTTTGGAAAAAATTTCCTTCTTGTTGCTCAATAACCATTTTCTCCAATTTTTGCTGTCAATAAGCTCTATGATGGAGAGGATCACTTGAGTTCATTGACTGTTTATATGCTTTTGTTCAATTAATGAGGCTTGAAGAATAATTTCATGTTATGTTTCCTTTGTTCTTGTTTATTTTAAGGGTGTACATCATAGCTTCTAAGAGTACATTTGGTAGCATGGTGGGGGGAACTCCTATGGCGCCGTGATGTCTGAACCCTAAATCTATCAGCCATCCGACTTTCAATTTAGTAATGCCAATAGATTTTTCTTTGCTTATTGAATGAGCAAAAAGCACTTAGCTGTTCTGGTAATAAAGTGTATTACAAAAAACCAGAAGCTCTTCCCAAACTGGAAAATTTGCTGGTGGAGTATCTTCCTTCCCTATTACAGAAACCAACTAAAGAAATGGTAGATTTCATTGAAAATATATAATAAATTGTGACTGAGAAAAGGGGTTATAAAGGAAAAGGGAGAATAAAAATTTTGGATTAAGACTGGCAGGAAAAGAAATAATGAACAGTGATTGTCTGATTCCCACTTCTCAGCAAGTTTAAATGCAATAAAATTTGTATTTGGTATAGATATTTCAACTGAAATGGGGTTTCAGTAGTGTTGTTAATGAGGTAATTCAGGTTCTAGACTCCAGAGAAAGAGGGGTGTATTGGTTATGTTGTAGAATTTGAACTTGACAGATGCTATGCTATCAGCTTCTCATGAAAAGATTTCTTTAAGCAGTTGTGGAATTACAGTAATTGCTTTAGCAATACATGTTTTTGGAGTCGTAGGTGTTGCAATAAACAAAACACTTTTCTCTAGTGCTAACTCCACTATGATTTGTGGTTTTCACATGTATTGCTCATCAAAAACCGCTATAAATTTTGAAGTTGAGAAATGTTTATGCATTGCAATATTGAAGAAGAAATGCAGTACATCTGCTTCCTGGTGTTTCTTTCTATTTTGGGCATTGCTGTGCTCAATGTAGCAGAAGGAGCTGGTGAATGTGGGAGATCATCCCCTGACAGGGAAGCCTGGAAGTTAGCTCCTTGTGCAATGGCCGCACAAGATGCGAATGCTCCAGTGTCTGACAGTTGCTGCCAACAGTTGCAGAAAATAGGCCAGAATCCACGATGCCTCTGCGCTGTTATGCTTTCTAACACAGCTAAGAGCTCTGGAATCAAGCCAGAAGTTGCTATCACCATCCCTAAACGCTGCAACATTGCTGATCGTCCTGTTGGTTACAAATGTGGAGGTATATTTTATTTTCATAGTATTTTTTTTACTGATTTTTCCTCTGCTTTATAAGATTCTCCAAATTTGAGTCTCATTTTTGCAGATTACTCTTTGCCTTGAGCATGAAGACACAAGTCCTGGGTTTTGTGCTTTTCTTAAGCTAGTTCATCTGGCTGATGAATTAACTGTGACACCCATCTATTTGAATGATAAATAAAAGCTTGTGCTATTATCTTTCTTCAAATATGTTATTATTGCTCAATACCCTTAGCTTGGCATGATTCCTATAAAATAAACCAGAACCTGCCAATCAGATGACTCTAAAAGGAGTTTCATTCAACTAAAAGACATACAACTTCCCATGAAGTAATTGAATATGTGGATATTCGGATAATCAGTTCCAAAATTTCGGTCTCGCCTGTCGTGTTTTCGGTTTAAGTTTATGATCATTCATTGTATACAACATGCTAAGAGGCATCTAATCTTGAAATGAAAGTGAAATCCAGTTGAGTGAGGACCAGAATACATATCTCAATATATAGTCATACAAATCGATTTCCTTGTGGGCAAAAATCCCACAGAGCACAGTTCAGTACATGGAGATTAGACTAGTCAGGCAAAAGAAAAGTAGAAAAACTTATAATACAAGATTCTGCAAACTGTCTGGCCTATCTATATCAGCTTATAGGGTGAGACTTGCTCAAGTGGAAGTTGGGAGAAAAAGAAAACAAAATTCTTCCACAAGTCCTAAGCTGTATTATGCTCTATATGCTTCTACTGTACTGCTAGTTAAATCTACCAGCTTATTTCCATAGTAATAGTAGGACTGATCATTCAGCCAGTGTTCCTGTAAAATAGCCCATAAACATAATCCGTATCAGCTGGATCAAAGGAAATATGGAAAGAAACATGGAAGTGTGCTAGACAGAAAGAAGAAATATTATGCTAAGAACATAAAAGAAATTTCTTTGAACTCCGATTATTATTCCTCAAAATAAGTTTCTGTTTCTTCTCCTGTTAATATTAGTACTATTTACTTGATTAGCGGGTAATTAACCAGTGTTGTCACAACAGGACCGGTTGGATTAGGAACTGGACCTCCAACCGGTTCAACTGCCAGTCTGGTTATTAAAACATTGCCTGTAACAGGCATATGTATACAATTCAAGCACAAAAAAAAAAGTTGGTGGCTTCTTTCCCCTGTAAATTGAGTCATCTAGATATGAAGAAGTTTTCAAAGTGGTAAGTGTAAATGAAATAAAAATCCATAACAGAAGGGTATATATACAGATAAAGTAAAAAAGGAGATCCATCAGGGAGAATTTTTAATTATACCTTACAGTATTGGGATGGCAAATTTGCATATTTTGGATTAAGATGTTAGTAATAAAGTGAGCCTGCACAAACAAAGAAAAATTGATTAAAGACTACTCGATATTATCATTTTTATGGACCAAAAATCCACAGCTTTTCATACCCTGCCACCAATTCCCTCTCGAAGCACCACTAGAATTGTTTCCATTGGGATCATCATCTTCCCCATCCTTTTTGAACTGTCATAGCAAAAAGACCAAGAACAGAGAAATCCATGGTAATTAGCCTGTAGAGAAAGCAAGATGCATACCTATATACCCTCAAAAACATAGACAATATCTTCACAAGTTTGGCATACAAAGGAGTATAAATTAAGGAAAATTGTAATGTGTATGTTATACTTACATACTGGGGAGACTCAGTGGTTTTCTTCCTTGGAGAATAATTTTCTTGGCCTCCATAGTAGATAGATGAGCTGAAATAGCAAGGTTCCACTGTTTCATTCTGATAAATGGATGAACTCTTGTCTTTGTTTGTTGTGCCACTGCTTTGTCCCTTTCTATCAGTGGTATGATCTGAAACAAAAAATGTGCCAGATTCATATATATAGTTTTCTTTTTATCAAATTAAAAAACTCAAGAATTCCTGCTACTCCATCTAAGAACCAGCAGAAAAGGTGATGGAAAAGCTAAAAACATTAAAAAAAAGATGGTACAAGAAAGCTTGACAAACCTGGATTTCCATATTTTCCATGATGGGGCAAACCCTGATTATTCCATGACCCCCAAATTCCAGAGCCACTGGAGTCCCTCCGTAGCACCTGAATTCAGAAAGAGAACAATTTAGACCTTTGCAGCAGAATTCCCCTTTAAAAGATCAACAAAATCTACAAACATTAGAACAAAAAGAAGGATAATCACAATAAAAAAAAGCCATGCATGGTTAGAAGTCACCAGTCACAGAGGTCAAGTTCCATTGCACAGTCCAAAGGAAACTTTTTCTCTCACATTCTAATCCAAAAGCACTAAAACGCTAGTATTGGAATACATAAATCAGCCTACATTTTGTTCCTTATCTATTCACTACCCCTATCCCTACTTTTCATCAATGCTGCAAATCACTTAGCAAAGTTAAAATATTCAAAAGAAAAAATGAGTAGTACTCCACTAGCTAGCGGGTTTCTACCGACCAAGTGAATATAACCAAGCACTTGATGTACGGATTGATTGTATTATATATAGAATTTTTTCTCTGCATCTTTTCAAGAATCATTCACTTGAAAACATAAATTCCATCAACTTTTATTTTCATCCAACTCCAAGTCGATTGCATGAAGTTGGAACAAGATACAAATACACCAACTAACAACAAACCATCTTTATTCTCCATATCAAATTCTTAACTTCCAATGAAGTATTGCCTCCAAGTATCAAAATTGCATATAGTTTCAAATAAATAGTTTCCTAAAGAGTAAAGGGTATATTTTTTTTCATCCTAAACCATCAAAATCAAGAAAGTTTTATCAAATTGATGAGCACAAAGTCTAAAAAAACAAGTTTTTTACCGTTGATGGAGGAGGGAAAATAGTCCCAAAAATCCCACTTGTGGAAGATGATGAAGAAGAAGAGTCCTTGGGACCAAAGAGATGATCAAAAGAAAGAGATGATGATGATGATGATGATGATGAAGAAGAAGAACCACCACTCACTTGCCTTTTGTTTTCCATATCAGAAAAGGCAAAACTTTTTATTTTTTATTTTTCGTTTTTTTAAGACTCCTAAAAGAAGCTTTCTTTGTCAACCAACGAACAAAACAACTTCTTTGATAGATGTATATCCGTTAGCAGGAAACGAGCCACAATAAAACGAGACCAAACAAAAACGAAAAGAAGGGTGGCAGTGTCAGGGCCGGTGGATAAGATTTTTCTTTGTATTAAGAAAAAAAAAACCAAAACAAACGGATAGACTAAAGAATGACAGATATATAATAGTAATGCAAAGCAAAACAGAGTGAGAGAGCACGCGAAGACTGCAGATCTGTTGGCAAACGGTCTAAGCTATTTATAAGCCCAAAAAAAGGTTCACTTCAGCTTCTTCATTCCATTTGGAGGAAAGATAAAGCAAAGGGTATTACCAAAAGGCAAAAAATCCATGTGAATTCATTCATTTTGTGACTGGTTTTTGAGTTTTGACACAAGGGTACATCACCCAAGTGGACATTTTCTTTTGCCTCAAATAGACCCCTTGCTTGCCATGTGTCTCCTTCGATATTTCTTTGACCTTTGGTTGTTTTGCACTGTTGAGTTTTTGAGAGAGAATAATCGAAGAAAAGAAAGAACATAATTTCTAGATAAGTCTTTTATAATTTATTATATTGGATACTAATATTCTTGTTGAATTTTAAATACCAAAACATTTTAGATTACTTGACCTGCTTAATTAATATTCATACTCTTCCCCTATCATTTTATTTGTTTTTATTTCATACCAATGAAGAACAAACATAACAAGAGAAAGCGAATAATTTTTAGATTTGATAATTTAAAATATGATATAATAATTAGACACGAATACAATATAAATTAAGAATATAAAAATGACATAATTTAAACTTTTAACCATAATTATATATAAGTTTAATAAAATAAAAAATATATTTTATGTTTTTATATTGATAAGAATTATAACATACAATTTTAATATAAAACATAATACAAAGTTTCAATATTTTACACAACGTGAATACATATATCATTAGATCTAAATTAGTTTTTCATGTCACTTATTTTAAATTATTAATATTTTTGTATTCAAAATTATTAAGAATTAAACTATGATTTAATAATTTAACATTTCATTAACAGATTACATAATTATTGATATTATTAATTTGATATAAATCTAAATTATAATTTTATTTTGTTATATAATTTTAACAAAAATCTTGAAGAAAAATGCATAAACTAATTTTGCCCCAAATAAAGAAAGGATATATTTATTTTTTATTCAATTTTTCTTGGGTTCTTGGAGAAAGAGAGTAATGAAAAAGACTTAGCTCTTGATGTTTCATAATGTGATATGATAAATGGATAAGGCTGGTTGGGCTCAAGTTGATGATGTGGGATATGCCTTTGTTACATATTTCAACTTCATTTTATTATTATTATTTTTTTGTTTAAACTCAGAAGAATAATCAAGAAACCCTTATGCCATGCAATAAAGATATCATAGCGATCTGTTTATTTCTCTTTAAATCTTTGAAGAATCAAGGTCGAATATATGTTTTTGAAAAAGAATTAAGCAGTTTATACTTATATAAATTCGTTAATAGAATATTAAAATCTTAATTTTAATAATTAAAATTCAACTCTGATAATTATAATTATTAAAAAAAATCTAAGACATCGGCTTAATTCGGTCAAAATTTTTAATCCTATATCTATCTAAATTTATACTTAATGTCAAATGCTATAATGATTTAGCATAACTGTTTTCAATTCCAATAATGATTAACTTAAAAAAGGGAAAGATTCCAAAGAGTTGTAATTTACTTGAATAATACCAAAAAGGAAAAAAAAATAGGGACCATAATGAAGAGATTGTGATTAGATAATGACATTAATTAAAGCAGCCATAGGAATAGCAAAGAGTAGCAGCCGCATCTTTTTCTTTAATTAATCTTCCCAAACCTAAGCAAAAGGTGGATTCATGGTTAGCAGAAAAGAAGTAATTAAATTAAAAAATCTATTCAAATCTTGTCATGATAATTAAAAAATCAATATAATTCTCTCAATTGATCTCCTAATCTTGATCACAAAGACTAATTAAATGTTGGGTTTCATACATATCTTTGGCATTAAATTTGGATAAACATGAGATTTCTAGATAAGGTTGTTAAGGAATCACTAGAGACTATGGAGTCATATCATAGTTAAAAACAAGCAAATTAAGCTAGTAAATATTTAAAAAAGAAAAAAAAATCAAAGAGAGATTTAATAATTTATTTTTTAAATTAGCAAACAATTGATCACTAATATATTAATTATATATTTCGATAAATTCCTTAAAAATGATTAAAAAAGACATACAAGGCATAAATGATTTATATATTCATTGATATTGATAATAGGATAGATTCTCTTAAAATTTTAGATATCAAATCAATAATTTTATTATATATAATTAAGGTATCAAGTGTGTAATTAATCTTCTTATTTTACGGATTAAAAAAAAAAAGATATGCAAGGCATAAATGATTCATATATACTTTGATAATGATATGATACGAAATTAAAGAATTTTTTTTGATATATCGCTTCCTTTAGGTTCCTTTTGGATAACTAAGGATAAGTGCCAAAAATGAAACTTTTTTCCTGTACCAATTTCATGTGCAAAAGAAATTGAACTTTTTATCACATGCTATAAGGTTTTGTTTGAAAGCATGAGCCTCTTTCTCTCAATCTCCCTATCCATTCCCACTTTTTTTTGGTCAATATCCATTTCGATCTTTACTTTTTCATGCATAAACTTGATACTTAGAAAATCCATTATTAATTATTTAATTTGACCTACCAATTGCTCTTGGAAAAACCACATCAAGGCTGAAGATTTTGCACTTGTTCAAGTCAAAAGATTCATAATCTTGATTTTTGTGTGTAGGGAGACTCCTTTAATATGTAAGGAATGCATGAATTTTGGATCATAAAAAAAGAGGGCTAGGTTCAAATGATACACAAAAATACACAATTACTGAATTACATATTAAACAAATAAAGCTTATTAGGTGGTACATGATCATGCATTACTTTTTTTAAAAAATTATTTATTTTGAAGAATGGAATTTGAAATCTATTCTTCGAATGAAATATCATATGCCAATGAACTAAATTAAATGTTCGCATGCATGCATTATTATGGTTGAATCATGGAGACATAAGCATAAAATAATTAAAATAACATAATTAAAATAACATAACAAGAGATAATCTTTTTATTAATCTCATCTTTTTCATTTTTAAGATTTAAATTCAAAATTTTTGAATTGACCTGATAATCTCTAACACAACATGATGATACGGTACGAAAATAACATGGTTTAAAATTTTAACAAAAATCATAAATAAATTTAATAAAACAAAAAAATTATATTTTATATTTTCGTATCTATATGAATTATAACACATAATTTTCGTATAAAATATAATACAAACATATGAATTGTTATTATTTTATACGATATGAATACATGAATTATCAAGTCTACTTTTGAATTCATTTAAAAAACTTAAATTTTAATTGAGTTTGTTTATTGGGACAAGTACTTTATCTATATTGAAAATAAAATTAATTAAAAAAAAGAAAGGTTAGATACATAGATAATTTTTTTCTTCAATTTTTTAATTTAAGAAGAAAATCTTATTCTTTTATTTTTAAAAAAATCATAAAAAATAATTATGTATACATATATTTCTTACATGTATATAATACAATTTATTAATAATTCAATTGATTTATATAATTAATTTTTTTAAAAATATTTAATAAATTTAATATTTAAATTTTAATACCGACATATTTTTTTTTATGTATCTCTTTTAAATTAAAAATTATTATTCATTATGATTGGTGCGTATGTTCCCTCGATATTCAAGCAAAATGTGATGTCATTGATGCCACTCTCTCTTTCTCCAACAACATCTACGGTGCAAATTATTACAGTGCGTGCGCACTCTGTGGTCCTATTAAATCCTATCCTTCAGATTTGACAACATCAATCACAACCACACGATTTTCTGCTAAGCTGGACATTTTTTTTTTTCAGTTTATCACGTTACGTGGGAACATGAGCGAACTACAAAAAGGGTTTAACAAATAAAGATTATTTATGAACTAGCAAAAAATATTTATTAAAAGAAAATGAAACTTTGATATTCTAAAGGGAATTTAAATTATACTAAAATTATCTTAAAAATGGATTCATTATAAATAACGAGGATTTATTTAAAGAGTAGTATAATGTTTACTACAAAATATTAAAAAATTGATTAAGAATAATATTACTATTTAAAATAGTAAAAAATATTTAAAATATAAAATTATTTGAATATCAATATTTTGATATTTATAAATATAATAATGTTTCAGGCTCAGCTCAAATCTAAAACTTTTATTTAATACTTGGTATTGTGTGATACATCTAGTTTGAAAGAAGGTTCATTTTGTGCTTGAGTAAGATTATAGACTTGTCACATATTTCTTTAGAGTACATTAAAAATTAAAAAAAAGAGTTAAACATCATAAAACAAACAATAAGTTTTAAAATTCGATTGTAAAATTTAAAAATTTCATTGACGGGAGGACATTATAATTCATGCATAAAAAAAAACCTTGAAAAAAAAATCATCACGAATAGTTTATTTTCTTTTTAGAAATTATAAACGATCAAAGCCTTCTAGATTCATATTGTCATGGTTGTCAAAAGTTTATAAGTTTTATGGATTTGAATAAAACTATAATTAATTCCAAAGTCATGTAAAACCTAAATTCTGCTTAGAAATTCAAAACCCCACATGGAATATGATCCACTAGTCAAGTTGTACAAAGTGAAGAACATTCTTAGTTAATTTGTCAGAATCTAAAGGCAATTTGGCCTGCATTTTTTAGTGATTTTCATTGACCTAACCTTTTCATGTTTTTCAACATATATATATATATATATCATTGATTTTTGCAATTAAATTGACTTTTGTTGTCTTTGAAGTAGTATATTTCTTTGAAGTATTGTACTTAGTATTTCTTAACCACATGACTCATGCCATGCATTGATTTTTTTTTTTTTTATTATTTATCGTTTAGGTTACCATAATAAAAGATGGAATTTTATGTCAAAAGTCGTATGATTTGTTCATAGAGCCGGATTCTAACTTAAAGAGAATAGATGAAAAAATTGCTAATTTAAGAATAAATAATTTCAAGATTTAATGTTTTGTTTCCCTTAATAATAGGTGCACATATGCATCCTCATATTTAAAATTTTTTGGCTCGAATCCCTCTAAGGTAATTGAAATTTGAGACTTAAAAATAAAAAATATTAATTAATTCAAAATTAATTTTGATAAAAAATATATAATTCAATAATTTGATATTAAATCAACTAAGCCCATATATGTATATCACTTTTTTATGTGATTCATTTC